TCCATGCGAATCTCACGAAGAGACAGAATAAGGAACGACAATATAAAACAATAAATGGGCATAGAAGGCACGATAGTTCAGGACATTGAAAAGAAACAACTTACCTGGTACGGATACGTAGAACGAATGCCAAATGACAAGTGGCCCAGAAAAATGCTGCATTGGCAACCAACAGGTAGAAGGAAACGAGGAAGACCAAAACTGGAATGGCAGAAGACCATACAAAACTCCATGAGTGAAAGAAATTTCTCATCAGAGGATTGCAACGATAGAAGAGGATGGAAAATTGGTTTCGGACAACGAAGAAAGACGTTCTAAAACGACATATTATATATACATAAAAATTGAATTCGTCTTGTCATTTATATATACAGGGTGAGTTACTAAGCGCGCGGTAGTCCATATCTCCTATACTAACGGAGATCGGAGAAAAAACTAAATACAAAACTTGTAGATAAACATGAGTACTACATTCCTAAATTATTTTTCAGTATACAGGGTGGCCCAATAACTAGTAGTGACATAAAGTTATGTTTTTTTAAATGACTTTCACTGTATATTATGACATTTCTGGATTCTGCGGAAAATTCTAGACATACTTCATGTACAATGTCATATACCTATCTTCAACTGTTTCGGAAATATTGACAGTTGAAAACCTTTTTTGCATCTTTGACAGACTGTAAAACCTGAACGGTTAATTTTACAAGAAAACGGACTTTACGTTCCTAACTTAGTTTTTCATAAACTATCATTTGGACCAATCTTGAATTTAATCCATGATTAAAAATTCCGCCTAAATTATTAATCTTAAGTTAAATTCAAAATTGGTGTCAAATGATAGCTTATGAAAATCTAATCCAAGAATGTAAAATCCGTTTTCCTCTAAAATTAACCGTTTAGGTTTTACAGTCTGTCAAGGATGCAAAAAAGTCAATTTTCAACTGTCAATATTTCCGAAACAGTTGAAGATAGGTATATGACAATATACATGAAATATGTCTAGAATTTTCCGCAGAATCCATAAATGTCATAATATACAGGGGGAGTCATTTAAAAAAACATAACTTTGTGTCACTACTAGTTATTGGGCCACCCTGTAAACTGGAAAATAATTTAGGAATATAGTACTCATGTTTATCTACAAGTTTTGTATTTAGTTTTTTCTCCGATCTCCGTTAGTATAGGAGATATGGATCACCGCGCGCTTAGTAACTCACCCGTATATGTACAGTGTGATTTTTTAAGTGTGCAACATATGGGCATTTTTTTTAGTAATAGCACAACCCAAATACAAACAAGGCCAAAAGTTGGTGCATGTCTGATAATTATATTAGGTGCACTTAGAATGGTTGCAAGTCAAACAGCATACAGGGTAGCTCAAACAATATCAAAGCTGGTACTGTAAAGTACCCTTATTTTAGAAAATTCAGCAAAATGTTATAAAGAAAAGTTGTTTGGAATTAAAAGTTATGCCTAAATACCAAAACATAGCCTCCTAGGATTTTTTTTATTTTCTTTCGAAAAAAATCTATAATTTCTATATTTTTTTTATTTTTCATTTCCGCCCTTAATTCTTTCAAAAATTAATTAAAATCAAATCAATTTTACATACCTTTGTTCAAATTCAAGCATATTTGTAAAATTACCTTAGGTTTTTAATTTTTTATGGAATCACAAAATTCATGTTTGTTGCAATGATATTCAACACAACTTTAAAATGTCGCATTTTTTTTTAACAAGTTAAAACATTACTAATGATAATAGCCACATTAAAAAAACTCTCCTTAAAGTGCAAAAGTTTTATTTTATTTAAGTAAATATTAGTAGAATTTTGATATTTCTTGAGCCACCCTGTATGCTGTTTGACTTGCAACTATTCTAAGTGCACCTAATATGATTATCAGACATGCACCAACTTTTGGCCTCGTTTGTATTTTGATTGTGCTATTACTAAAAAAAAATCCCATATGTTGCACACTTAAGTAATGACACTGTATATATAAATGACAAGACGAATTCAATTTTTTCAAATTGGTTTCAATGATAAAGAGTTATTTTGAATGTTAGCTGGTGCCAAAAACATGTAATACCTATAATAATTATTTTTATCATTTCATAATTCATTTGAAAACTGGCAGCTTTTGCAACTAAATTATCAGGAATTCATGAAACAGGTCCACTTCTTTTTTGGAATTTAAAATCAAAATAAAATAAAATGGCTACTCTAACTAAAAGTTCGGTACGACCATTTATTTTTCAGGAACTACCCAACAAAGAATCACAAATTGATAATTACAACTTCGACGAAATTCCACAGAAACCGTTACAACAAGAACTGAGCGAGGTTCCCAGATTAGCGGAGGTTGAAGCTGGTACTGACGGCATTCCTACTGAATTCTTCAAACAACTAACCCACACTAAGTGCCCAAACCTACATCCTAATAAGTAAAATATGGATTACTGAGACCATACCTGCCGAACTTAGAGATGTCTCGATAGTAACCATTTTCAAAAAGGGAGACAAGGCTCAATGTGGAAACTACAGAGGAATATATCTACTTTCTGTTGCGGGAAAGATACTTGCCAGGATATTATCTAATTGACCATAGTCAACTGCCGAGGAGAGCTTCCCAGAGACACAGTGTGGCTTTAGACCCACCGGAGGTACAGGTGACATGATTTTCAGTGCATGACAAATGCAAAAGAAATCCATAGAACCAAATCGCCCTCTATACATGGCCTTCATAGATTTAGTGGAAGAATTTGATTTGGTCAACAGAGAAGCTCTTTGGAAGATATTGGCAAAGGTTGGATGGATGTCCGCAAAAGTACATCTAGATACTCCGCTTGCTGCACGATAATATGAATGCAACCGTCCTAAGCAATGATGTATAAGGAAAATCTTTTCAAATAACTGCAGGGTTGCGTTTAGAAATAGCACTCTGGGTGTGAGAGTGACCCTATAGAGTAACTCTAAACTGTTCATAAATTAACAGGTGCTTACTCGGAGCGTTACGCTGGAATCGTTCAGAAATCGAGAGTTGACGTGCCCAGAGTGCGCCCAAATTACCCCACTCAGAGACTGGGTTGAAAAACGCCCCGCGGTTTTTACATTGGTTTTTACCGGATTTGACGTGATTCATGACATTGACATTCACCGCAACGCCCCAATATGTTCAGAAATAGTGCACCGAGAGTGTACTCCAAGTGATGACGTCAAAACACTCTGACAAACAAATACTCTACCTTCACACTCCATTTCTAAACGCACTCCAGGACTGTGTTATTGCACCCACTATCTATTCTCTATTTGGGATCCATACTTCACCTTGTCGAGGGTCAACTGCCGTCAGGACTGGAAATCCTGTACAGACTTGATGGCGGTTTACTCAACCTAAACAGATTACGAGCCAAGACGAAAGTCTAGACGACATCGATAATTAAACTTCAATATGCGGATGATAACGTCGTGATGGACAATTCAGAGGAAGGTCTTCAGGAAATTATCAATGCATTCAACCAGGCATACAGGAGCATCGGCCTAGAGATCAACTTTACCAAGACGCAGATTCTGCACCAACTCGCACCGGGCACTAGTCCCCAAGCCCCAAACATAACTACTTTAAATGACCATTCCTTGCAGAACGTAGAACACTACCCATACCTTGGCAGCTATCTGGCAGCAAATGCAACTATTGACGCTAAAATCCAACATCTCTTGAAGTGTGCTAGTGCAGCGTTCGAGCGACTTCTAGAGAGTGTCTTTGACAATCACGACATCAACGCTGAGACCAAACTTCGTGTCTACAATGCAGTTGTAATACCAACACTTACATATGGCTGCGAAACATGGAGCACCTACAAGAGAGACATAAAAAGCCTAGAAAAATACCACCAGCCAGCGGTGCCTAAGAAGGATCATACGGATTAAATGGCAAGACCGACGAACGAACTTTAGCGTTTTAGAGGAGGCCAAAACAACTAACATGGAAGCCCTCATCATTAAGCACCAACTTCGCTGGACAGGTCACCATCAGAAAACGCATAATCGACGACATTAACAATAGAATAGGAGATAATCATACTTATGATAATTCGGAGCATCAACAAGTTATGTTATTGATGGCCCGGTCAATATAAAAAAACTAACAAATAATTTCATTAAAATAATTATTTAAATGCTGATTTAGATCATTTTGCACATGTTCATAATCCAACACCGAAACGGAGAGACTCGCAAAGTAAAATTTATCCCTCAAACTTGCGTTGTTAAGACTCTGAACCTCATTTGGAATTTATTTTCGTTTCTGGAAACTATATGAGAGCTAAAAATTGCGGGTGAAAAATTCATTCCAGCCACGAAAACAAAGTGGAACGTGTAGTCTATACTGCAATTCTAGCTTCTTTGTGAGCTTGTTTTTGTATCTGGCAACTTCAAGAGCTTCCTCCTACAAATCCTAGGCATCAGAGAAAAAAAAAAACTTTCACCAGTCTCATTGAAGAGCCCTCATTAAAGCTTTTTATTACATCTGGCACCAGATTTTAACCCTCAGAGTTGCGCCGTATTTAAGATTTTTTGTCTAGTAGATCAAAATTTGCTGCACAATTTTCTCGTGAATGATCGCTTCAAAAATCCCACACCCAGTATATTAAGTTATGGGTCATAAACCTTTCGAAAAATATTTGTCCAGTAGTGAATAAAATAGCAATAAAGTGCTCCTACACTAGGGATTTTAGATTGCATTCTCCTCTAAATAATATGTCTATTATCGAAATTAGTTTTAAATGCAAATACGCTAAACGGTCGATTTATCATCATTTTACGCAATATGGCAGCAAAATTACTTTTTAAAATGTATTCATTAAGCTTCTTGATGTTAAATTACTATTTTCTGTATAGGCCTTAACTCGACTTAGAAGTATGTTTCATGCACTCAATGAATACAAAGTGTGTCATTAGTTTGTTTCCACAATTTCAAACAATTTTTTTTTTCCAGAAAAAGAAAAGATACTGGGGATTCGTCCTCGTTAGGTGGCAACGAGGATTTACCGATTGTAGCTCCACGTGGTATGGCTGAATTGCCCGAGGGGGCTACTCCTCCTGAAGATCAGCAAACCTGGAGAGCTTACTACGAGCATCCTTTAACTGCTGCTACGACTGCGATGCTTAACATTGGTGGCGGTGCCGAAGATCAAACTGCAACTATGGGATTGATTTATGAATATTATAAATTGCCACCTTTACCTGGGGATTCTAAAGATAAATTAGCTGAACTGTGGCCGTAAGTTACTTAATCTAGTTACATGGTTTTTGGTTACAACAAAGCTGCACTAGCGGATTAGGTGAAGATCACAATCACAATCACAATAATTGGTCCTCTATTTTTTTTTTTTATAAAAACGAAACACACAATCACCATTTGCACTGTAGATTACATAGTTCTTTTGCTGCAGTCTAAGAGTAGGGACAGTTTGGAGACTCTTCTCTGCCTCACCAATGTACACAAACTCAAACTTCGTAATATTTGAACGGCTTGAAGCGCACAAATAAAATTAATAGGTATTATCTTCCAAGTTGTACATTGCCAAAAAAATAAATAAAACGAGATTGATAAAAGTTCCAGTTCTTCAAAACCAGAAGAAAAACTTTGTGTTTTTCTGGGATTCGTACTTACTACCTACCAGAGACACAAAATACCAGGGACTATTTTTTCAGTTAAGAAGAGCCATTTTATAGGAAGAGTTGAATACTTAGCAATAGCAAATATCAAATCAGAAAAATAGATTGCAGAAGAGTTAAATCAAGGGCCCCAAGATCATGAAAATGAGGAAATACTCCAGCATTGGGTCGATATAATGGACCACGTGTTACAACAGCTTTCCTATGACTAGAACGGACACTACACAGGAACACACTGAAATCGGAACCAAGTTTGAGCGGTTCATGTCTTTGAACCGTAATCTTGATAAACGCCTGTCCGTTGATATCGCCGAATCTTTGGGTCTAACAACAACATATAACCTGACCCGCGTGACAAGTAAAATTCCTACGAACTGAATAATGCACGTATGTCTGCGATAGAACGAGTACTTTTCGTGCGCTGGCGTCGTTTGCTTGACATTCAAAATTCAAACTCATTCGACAACGAATGACATTCGTGCTATCTCCTCCTAGCTTATGTTAAATACGTTTACATTTGACAGGTGTGAGACAAGTCTCGAGACAAAAATTTTAGGTGTTTTTTTGGTTTTCAGTCATGCAGAACCTAATGCCAAAAACCGATTTGAAGTAAGGATGAGCATAAAAAAATTTCCCATATGGTGCAGACTTTTCCGCGGGCACTGTATATTTAGTTGGACAATTTGAAAAAAAAATTGCGAACAGACTCCATTTTGTATGTAGAAACGTATTTTAGAATAAAAAACACATCTTTCCATTTAAAATAAGAAAATTACCCCCACTCCTCTTAAGGGGTTGAAGGGACAAATGTCAAAAATATCGTAAAATGTGTCTCCCCGTGTATTTATTACGTCACCAAAATGCAAAAAAAAAATTGCAGTTGTTTTTGACATATCGCATTGTAACACTTAAAAAAAACTCACCCTGCAGAGATTTTCATGCTTCATATTTCTTTCATGTTCAAATTGATTGAATCAACCAATATTTTCCGGTACGTGTGTATCTTCGCATCAATAATAATTTATGGAACGAATCACTAAAAAAATTAATTTCTCATAACATGGTTTGCTTTATTTTTCGCGATAGCGGCGTATATTAATGATCATATAGAGTTCGCGAATTCAATTTTCACTTGATCCCTGAAACATTGTCATCAAGGGCGTACCCAGGATCTGAAATAGGGGGGGGGGGCTGACCAAAAAAAAAAAAAAAACAATGGATTTTGCATTTCTCTTTTTAATTACTAAATTTTGACATAACTCGCTTAATTTTTACTTCAATAACAATTTTCTTGGATTTGTCGCAAATTTATTTAAAACTTGATTTTCAAATTGCTCTCGATTTGATTTAATTAAATCACGATGCACACTCATGAGACATAATCCTGTTAACCTTTCCTCTCCCATGGTACTTCTCAACCAAGTCTTCACTCTTCGAAGAGTACTGAAGGATCGTTCTACAGTGGCCGTGGTGCATGGAATTGTGATTAAAATCAAAAGTGCCTGTTTTAGGATGGGATAAAAAACATCGGTCTCGTCGAGAAGGTCAGTTATTTCGACGTCTTTTAGCTTGTCCTCAGTTGACTTTTTTTCCTTCCACAAATTATACCATAGGTCCATTTCCGCAGTAATATCGTCCAATTTATAAAACTGGGTAAAATATTGTGCATTTTGTTCTACTTGATTGGTTTCCATGTCGAGCATATATAATGGATGTATTTTTGTTAAGGCAAACGCTGGAGTATGTTCTTGAGAAAAGCGAATATTTAAAGAGGCTATAATTGAATCCAGATACGGTATAATTAACGAACGCTTCCAGTAGTCACTATCACAGTCTGATGGAGGATTGTTTCTATGTATTTGCCTCTTGGTATTTCGAGGGATAGAAATTTCTATTTCCAATTCCAATGCAAAGTCTTGTGCTTTTTTAAGTACTTCATCAATAACTAGGTCGGCATCTTCACGGTTTTTCTTCAGAACGTTAAGGATTACGTTCAGATGTTCTTGCAACTTAATTAAATCCATAGTTTTTGCTTGCAAGGCATTAACAACCGGCTCCAGTAAAGCTGAATATTTTGCAATTATAGTTAGGGCAACAATTAGTGAGGGTTTGGTAACGGCGGCATGCAACTGGTACGCAGATTTTCTCGTGGCGTAGTTTCCTTCGATAGATAGTTTTTCAAGTGATTTCACAATTTCGAGGAAATTTTGTGCAAATAAGCGAATACTTTTGTATTTTTCAGACCATCTAGTCTCACACAGTCGTGATAGATTAGGAGCGGAACTTCTGCGAGTGGTGGATTCCTTGAAAAAGGTTATAACATCCTTTACGGTGCCAATAGTGTTTCTAATTTCCGGAACATTATTTGCATCATTGACAACAAGATTTATTTTATGGTTTGAGCAATGAAAAAATAATGCTCGTGTGTACTTTTTCCTTAAAATCGCTTGTACGCCACCCTCTTTGCCCGCCATCGTAGCGCAGCCATCAAAACCAAGTCCTACACAACTATGCGGTGAAAAATTATAGCTAACTAAAAAATTGTCTATTGCATTGGCAATTGCTGGGGCATCCTGTGCTGTCAGCTCCACAAAACCCACAAATTCTTCTCGGACTTTTTTTTTACTTTTATCATAGAAACGCAAGCCAATGGATAGCTGCTCCTTTCCTGAAACGTCGGCTGTCTCGTCGGCTAAAACTGTGTAGAACATGGCTTTCTTTGCATCATTTATCACACTCTCCCTAATAACTTCGCCACATAAATATATGAGTTGGTTTTGTATTTTTGGTGACGTATAAACAGCATTTCTACGACACTTTTCCAGGTGATTCTTTAATTTGATGTCGCCCGACTCAACTCGCAAAGTCATTAGATCGAAAAAAACTCCCTCATCTGCTTCTTTTCCTCGTAGAGGCATATCGTGTGTGCCACAGAATACTACACAGGAAATAATAGAGGCCAATATTTGCTTGTTCTCTTCGATTGTTTTTTGGTGGAAACTTTGAACTTGAATGTCCACAGGTATATTTTCGAGAAAGGCCTTTGCAGCAGCAGATGCAGATTTGTGAAAGTTATTGGTGGCATGTTTACGACAATCTTCGTGCATATTCCTAAACTTCGTAAATGGTCTGACCATAAATGAACCTAACACTCCCCTTACTGTGCCAGTAGAAGGAGGAAATAAAACACAGTGCTTACACAGAGCACCCTTTAGTCGCTTGGAATACACTAATCATGGTGTGTATTGATCTAACCAAGCATAATTAAATTTTCTTCGCAAATGACTGGCATCGGCTGCAAAATCGTAATTCTTGGGTGGAACCCACGGATTTTTTAACAACTCTTTTTTTCTTTCCATCGTCAGGTGAAATGTTTGTCCTACATAACGACCCAAGTCATTTTCGTGGCAACCATCATTCTCTTCAATTTCGGGATTGACTACAGAGCCAGATGTTGACGGTAAAGATTCTAAATTAGGAGCAGTGACTTTCTTAGATCTCAAAGAATTTAGCGGTTGCTCAGATTCAGATTCAGTTTTAGATGGGCTTGGCGATGAAATTTGATCATTGTTATCATCGCTCCCGCTGCTACTGTCATGTTCTTTTTTCCTCTTGAGAGTTTTAGTAGCTACAAAACACAATAATGCCGCTATTAGTATTTTATACAGTGTGAGTGATATCCGTGTTAGTGTTTTGTTTAACATGTAACATGGAAAAAAACATTTTGTTTTTTTTAATTGGAATTTACAGATATTACACAAATGTCGTCGAATGTAACTTACTAACTGTAACTTACCTGTTTGAAAAAATTTCCTGATATCCATTTATCAGTGTGGAGATACCGAGATGCCCGAAATAGGTAGATTCAGCAGATTTTCCAATAAGTACTGTAACGTTTTTAGCGTGAACTTGTTCGACTACGATGTGATAAAAGCTGCCAATTAATTAAAACTATACTTTTATTAACACTTAACTAAAATTCACTCTGATTAATTTAACTAAACACACTAACTAGTTTATGTAACGCCTTGTATCTTGTATTTATTTATAAAAGTATTCTATTCTTCAACCCGGCACTGGCGAAATCTGCCCTCGCCGCCCGACATTGTTCCTTTTATATCCGAAGCGCCTGCTTCTCGAAGATTCTCTCCGCAGCACGTACGAAGCTTCGCGCTGCGTCTCGAGAATTCTCCACGCGGCCGGGAAGAGTCAGAGGCGGACTCAGGGTAATTTTCGTTACAGTACAATCTTATATAAATTTCTGACAATGTTTACTAGTGTAACGTAACTGCTAACAACATAGCATAGACGTTTATCAACAACTAAGTAAATTAAGTTTACTTGCAGTACTTGCACAAACAAATTAACATTGAATAACAAATGAAAATAATCGAATTCCGTTAGAAAAACAACACAATACAACAAATTCGCAGGGGCCAGGATCGTAATAGAAAATTCATATTTCTTTGCTAATTCCGCTAATTGCAAATCTAGTAGGCTATGCAGTGCGCTGCGTTTGACTTACGTAGGTATATGAATATATTTTAGTAGTATTTAGTAGTATATTTTTCGGGTTTGTAATTTTTTTAGTAAAACCATAGT